AAAAAAAAAAAAAAAAAAAAGATAAGCATATGATCCAGCAATTCCACTTCTGAGTAGATACCTAAAGGAATTGAAAGCTGGAACTCAAACAGACACTTGTACACCCATGATCGTTGTAGCATTCTTCATAATAGCCAAAAGGTAGAAATAACCTACATGTCCATCAACAGATGGATAGAGAAAATGTGGTATATATATGAGATGGAGTATTACTCAGCCTTAAGAAGAAAGGAAACTCTAACACATGCTACTCCATGGATGAGACTTGAAGATGTTATGCTAAGCCATAAAAGGAAAAATACTATGTGAATCCATTTATAGGAGACATGTAGAGTAGTCAGATTCATAGGGACAGAAGTAGAATGATGATTGCTGGCAGGTGAGGGTAGGAGGAATGGACAGTTACTGTTTAACGGGTATGAAATTTCAGTTCAGAGATGAAGAAAGTCCTGGAGATGGAAGGTGGTGATGTTTGCACAGCAATGTGAATGTACTTAATGCCACTAAAATGCACACTTAAAAATTACTAAAATGGTAGATTTTGTCAAGTGTATTTTGCCACAATTTTTAAATTTTTTTCTAAAAAAAAAGAGAACACTTCCAAAGATTTTCCCTAAGAAAGAGAAGAAAATTTTAGGCAATAATTGCTTCACACTCTCAAACAAATTACATATCCTTTCTTTAATAGGATCTAAGGCTTCGGGAGGGTGAGATGTGAGGATCGCTTTAGGCCAGGAGTTCAAGACCAACCTGGGCAATATAGCAAGACCCCATCTATTTAAAAAAAAAAGTAGGCTGGGCATGGTGGCTCACGCCTGTAATACCTGCACTTAGGGAGGCCAAGGCGGGCAGATCACCTGAGGTCAGGAGTTCAAGACCAGCCTGGCCAACATGGTAAAACTCCATCTCCACTAAAAATACAAAAAATTAGCTGGGTGTGGTAGCACATGCCTGTAATCCCAGCTACTCGGGAGGTGAGGCAGGAGAATCGCTTGAACCCAGGAGGCAGACATCATGCCACTGTACTCCACCCTGGGTGACAGAATGAGACTCCATCTCAAAAAAAAAAAAAAGAATCTAAGGTATTACAATGAGATAAAAAGGGAGGTTGGCAGAGCTAAGGAAAAAAATTAGGAAGTAAATCATGACATAACAAAAATTAAAAATTAATTAGAAGAACAAAGATAACAAAACTTTTTATTTTTGAGACAAGGTCTCACTCTGTCACTCCTGGGCTCAAGCAATCCTTCTGCCCCAACCTCCCGAGTAGCTGAGACTACAAGCGTGCGCCACCATGCCTGGCTAATTTTTTATTTTTTGTAGAGACGGGGTCTTGCTATGCTACCTAGGTTTGTCTCAAACACCTGCGCTCAGGCGATCCTCCTGCCTTGACCTCCTAAAGTGCTGGGATTACAGGCGTGAGCCACTGCACACGGCAGAGAACAGATATTTTATTTTTAAAAATAAGTAGAGAGTTTATTTGGGTGAAGTTTGAGGACTGCATATCAGGGTCATGGATTCACGTTGCCCTGCATATATGCTCCAGAACAGACACTTTGGAAAACCCCATCAGCCAAATGAAAAACAAGCTTTAGAAAAACAACACAAGGGCCGGGTGCGGTGGCTCAAGCCTGTAATCCCAGCACTTTGGGAGGCCGAGACGGGCGGATCACGAGGTCAGGAGATAGAGACCATCCTGGCTAACACGGTGAAACCCCGTCTCTACTAAAAAATACAAAAAACTAGCCGGGCGAGGTGGCGGGCGCCTGTAGTCCCAGCTACTCGGGAGGCTGAGGCAGGAGAATGGCGTGAACCCGGGAGGCGGAGCTTGCAGTGAGCGGAGATCCGGCCACTGCACTCCAGCCCGGGCAAGAGTGAGACTCTGTCTCAAAAAAAAAAAAAAGAAAAAGAAAAACAATACAAGGCAGGAGGGGACTGAGAGGGAGTAGGCAAACATCCAAATGAAACCAGAGAAAATATGATATATACCGAGAGGGAAAAGGGAGAGCTAATGAACAGATAGTTGATGTTCTCAAACATCAATATAATAAAACAGAGAACAAATAAAACAGAAAAAAAAATTTTAAGGAAGGCAATTTTCTGTAAATAAAGATATGAATTAGTAGGTGAAAAGGGGTGACACTGGGTTCCTGGAAAAGTTAAAAATTTTCAAAACTGAAAAAGAACCTAGAGAAGTTACTAAACTACAAGGTAAAAGAATCTTATAAGCCATAGTTTGGCAAACTATGCGCCAGCAGGCCAAACTGCCATCTGTTTTTGTAAATGAAGTTTTACCTGGCCAGGCGTGGTGGCTCGCGCCTCTAATCCCAACACTTTGGGAGGCCGAGGTGGGCAGATCACTTGAGGTCAGGAGTTTAAGACCAGCCTGGACGACATGGTGAAACCCCATCTCTACTGAAAATATAAAAATTAGCCAGGTGTGGTGGCACACGTCTGTAATCCCAGCTACTCGGGAGACTGAGACAGGAAAGTTGCTTGAGCCTGGGAGGCGGAGGCTGCATTGAGCTGAGGTCACGCCACTGCACTCCAGCCTGGGGAACACAACGAGATTTCATCTCAAAAAAACAAAAACAAAAACAAAACACAGCAAAGCCCATCCATTTATGAGTGGGTTTTTGTGCCACAACTGCAGAGGTGTCTGTGAGAAAGGCCATATGGCCCCCAAATCCTAATATTTATGATCCAGCCCTTTACAAGAAATGTTTGTCAGTCCCTGTTATAACTATTTAGGGAAAAGAAACACAAGCTACATACATACAAAAAAAAATAGGAGAAGAAGCAGGCCAATCTCATACTTATCAGAATATAGAGGGAAATGCATTCACACTAGAAGACAGAATTTACAGAAGTAGCATTTCACCTTTTGTCTTTACAGAAGTATATTTGGCTGTTTTGTGAGACATTCTGGGGAAAAAGAAAAAGAAAATAAATATAGATGGCAGAAGACAATGAAGAAGTCTGAAGGAGAAAGCATGTGGCCCAAGAATTCCAAAATCAGTTATTGCTTTCTACACGTAAAGGCAATCGAAAGGCACTCCCGGCCAGGCGCGGTGGCTCACGTCTGTTAATCCCAGACCTTTGGGAGGCTGAGGCGAGTGGATGACCTGAGGTCAGGAGCTCGAGACCAGCCTGGCCAACATGGTGAAAGCCCATTTCTACTCAAAATACAAAAATTACCCGGGCGTGGCAGTGCACGCCTGTCATCCCAGCTACTTGGGAGGCAGGAGAATCGCTTGAACCCGGGAGGTGGAGGTTGCAGTGAGCCGAGATCCCGCCACTACACTCTAGCCTCAGTGGCAGAGCAAGACTCCATCTCAAAAAAAAAAAAAAAAAAAAAAAAAATTACAGAGTTCCTTCTAATCTATATAATTCAATCACCATTAAGACATTCTAAAAACTGAAGACTTACAAGGCCTTATCTTTATAGAGAGATATACACAGAGATGAGAAGCAGCTAGCACTCACCTACAGCCTGAGAGGTGAATGCCGCTACAATCTGCGGACTGGCTAGGGCCTCCAGCCTGTTCTTCAGTGCCTCCAAGTGCACACACTTTTCTGAGTAGTCTGGTGTATCAACAAGCATCATTAAGCTGTTCTGCATACCTGTTAGCTTGGCAGAAATCACAGCTATGTCCTAGAAAAGACCAGAATAGAGGATATTTATTTTAAAAGATCCCTACTGCCTCAATTGGGAATAGATAAAATACATGAAAAGGCAACTCATCAAGCAAGAAAATGGGGCTGGGCATGGTGGTGGCTCATGCCTGTAATCCCAGCACTTTGGGAGATTGAGGCAAGAGGATCCCTTGAAGCCAGGAGTTCAAGGCCAGCCTGGTTAACACAGCAAGATCCAGTCTCTACAAACAGTAAAAATTAGCTGGGTGTGGTGGTGCGCACCTGTAGTCCCAGCTACTCAGGAAGTTAAAGCAGGAGGATCACTTGAGCCTGGAAGGTGGAGACTGCAGTTAGCCCAAGATCACACCACTGCACTCCAGCATGGGCAACAAAGACCCTGTCTCAAAAAAAAAAACAACAAAAAACTGTACTCAAACAAATGCAGATTAAATTAAACAAGAAAGTGCCATTTTCCTGCTAACAAATTGGAAAAGTGTTTGAAAAATCATAATAGGAATTGTTAGTGAGGGTACAAAGAAAAAAGACCGTCTGTCTGGTATCATAAATTTAAATTTATACTGTCTTTCTGGAAGGCTATTTAGCAATATGTGCTAAGAGTTTTAAAAACATTCACATCCAGGCAGGGCACAGTGGCTTATACCTAAAAATCCCAGCATTTCCAGAGGCTGAGGCAGGAGGATTGCATTAGGCCAGGAGTTCGAGACCAGCCTGACCAATATAGCAAGACCTTGTCTTTACAAAACATTTTAAGAAACTGGCCAGGCAGCCAGGCGGGGTGGCTCACGCCTGAAATCCCAGCACTTTGGGAGGCCAAGGCTGAAGGATCACCTGAGGTCAGGAGTTTGAGACCAGCCTGGCCAACATGGTGAAACTCTGTCTCTGCTAAAAATATAAAAATTAGCCAGGTGTGGTGGCACCCACCCATAATCTCAGCTACTCGGGAGGCTGAGGCAAGAGAATCACTGGAACCCAGAAGGCAGAGGTTTGCAGTGAGCCGAGATCATGCCACTGGACTCCAGCCTGGGCGACAGAGCAAGACTCTGTCTCAAAAATAAATAAAAATAGATATATTGTTGAATGAAAAAACAAACTGCAAAGCAGTGTTCACAATGAGCTTTGTGAGAAAAAAGGGGCAGGGAACATAAATATGCATGTGTGTATCTGGAAGGATGTGCATAAAGCTGGTAACAGGGCTAGTCTGTACAAGAAAAATTGGCCCCTGGCCAGGCGTAGTGACTCACGCCTGGAATCCCTGCACTTTGGGAGGCTGAGGAGGGCAGATCACCTGAGGTCAGTAGTTCAAGACCAGCCTGGCCAACATGGTGAAACTCCTTCTCTACTAAAAATACAAAAATTAGCTGGGCATGGTAGTGTGCGCCTATAATCCCAAGTACGCAGGAGGCTGAGGCAGGAGAATCACTTTAACCTGGGAGGTGGAGGCATCATGCCACTGTCCTCCAGCCTGAGCTTCAGAATGAGACTCCGTTTCAAAAGAAAAAAAAAAAAAGAAAAATTCAACGATTAAGGTGGGGGTCAGGGTTAGGAAAAAAACTTATTTTTGCAGTTTATTCCTGTTTAATAAATTTGTTCCCATATGCATTTGTAACTTTTTTAAAAAACTGACTGATAAATCATTCATTTTGCTTTACAATTGAGTAAGAGTTCTTCATAAGACATCATCTTACTTCATCCTTATATCCCAGGTCGAAAATATTACTATTTTCCACACTTTGCAGCCTCAGAAGGGGTCAATAACCCACCAAGTCCCCATGGTATATAAGGCTCCCCGCTCCCCATGTTCCACCCTCTCATTCATTTACCCCCAACCTTCTCTGCCTGTGCTGGTTTTTCTTTTTTCTTATTTTTTTTTTTTGCTCTGTCCCTCACCACAGTGGTATGATCATAGTTTACTGTAGCCTTCAACTCCTGGGCTCAAGAGATCCTCCCGCCTCAGCCTCCTGAGTAGTTGGAACTACAAGTGTGCAGCACCACACTTGGCTAATTTAAAAATTTTTTTTGGTAGAGATGGGGGTCTCATTATGTTGCCCAGGCTGGTCTCAAACTCCTGGCCTCAAATGATCCTCCCACCTCAGCATCCCAAAGAGCTGGGATTCCAGGCATGAGCTACTGTGCCTGGTGCCTGTACATCTTTATCGAGACTTCTCCAGAACTCACTCTGTGACTAAGAGGCTTCAGTCACACAGAGGGTGCAAGCTAAAGAGGCTGGAAACACACCGAGCAGCTTCAGATCTTCCCCACCCAGAGTCTGAAGGTTTCTGAATGCTGCTCCTGGCTGTCAACTCTCCCTTACGGTTTCAACGAATGCTATCTCTTTTGCTTTCTCCAAACCTCAAGTTCTTGCTTAAATACTTTTCATAACATCCCCTAAACAAGAAACCTACCTGAGTCTTAAACGTCTCCTCAATATCAGCGCTCAACGTGCTCCACTTATCTGCTTCCTGAAGAGATTCGGCAGCAAGTTGCATTCTGGACTTCACCTGGTCAATTTCTACCAACACCTGAAAGAGACGTGAGGGGTGAAAAATGAAGGGGTAGGTCCTTTTTCTCCATCTGCCACCAGGGACTTGAAATGTAAGTATGGTGGCTTGCTCCTGTCTTTAGGGAGCTTCTGTCTCCCAAAACACCAATCATCTGGCTAAATTTATTCAGCAGTGCCGAAGAGATGAATCAGCTGAAAGACCCAAGCAAAAGCATAGTTTCGGGGGTGCCGAGCACAGTGGCTCACGCCTGTAATCCCAGCACTTTGGGAGGCCGAGATGAGAGGATCACTTGAGACCAGGAGTTCGAGACCAGCCTCGGCAACATGGTGAAACCCTGTCTCTACTAAAAATACAAAAATCAGTCGGGCATGGTGTTGCACGTCTGTGATCCCAGCTACTCAGAAGGCTGAGACACGAGAATCACTTGAACCTGGGAGGTGGAGGTTGCCGTGAGCTGAGATCACACCACTGTACTGCAGCCTGCACTCCAGCAACAGAGCGAGACTCTGTCTCAAAAAGAGAGCATAGTTTGAGTGCTGGGCAGAATCTTGAGTGATGGCTGGCCTCCCAAAACACCGTGCTGTTCTAAACCCTCTACAAGAGTGACCACCTTCCCAAAACAAGAATCACCATTTACGACAGGAGCCAAAATACCTGCATGGATTGAGATGTATCCTGTTCAAATTTTTTAATGTCCTCCTTGACAAGAATCATCTGTTCCTTCAGGAAAGATGCCTCCTGTTTTAGGGCTTCAACATCACGGAGCACTTTGGGCATGTTCTGGAGAGCTTGGTGACTTGTTTCTGTAGTTAAAAAAAAAAAAAATCAAGAACAGCGATAGCCACAAAAGGTGAAAGCTGGACCAGTCACCAGTAAAAAATAGAAAACAAATCAGACAACAGAAAGGAAACACACGACCAACCAAACAGTTTTTGGAGCCTGTAGAAAATATGGGGCAGGAGACGAGATGGGTAGTGAGGTGGCCCCTGCCAGGATCACATCCCCAGACTGATGGGAAAGGGCCTTTGATTTCACAAGGAATGAACAATCAACCTGTCCCAACACCAACTTGCCACCACCAATGAAATCATAACGCCATTTGCAAGAAGGCATGCCCCAGGGGCTTTGCATACACTGTTTTACTTAATGTCCATGGCTGTCAGTAGCAGCCACTTCCTACTGATAAGAAAACTCAGAGAGGTTAAAGTAACTTGCCCAGGATCTTACAGAGCTAAAACTAAGCCTCACATGGGTCTGGCCCCAATGCCTGCTTTCCATGGTCTTTTTTTTTTTTTTTTTTTTTGATAGAGTTTCACTGTGTCACCCAAGCTGGAGTGCAGTGGTGCAATTTCAGCTCACTGCAACCTCTGCCTGCAGGGTTCAAGTGATTCTCCTGCCTCAGCCTCCCGAGTAGCTGGGATTACAGGCGCCCGCCACCACATCTGGCTAATTTTTTGTATTTTTAGTAGAGATTGGGTAGAGACTGGGTTTCACCATGTTGGCCAGGTCACAAACTCCTGACCTCAGGTGATCCACAAGCCTCGGCCTCCCAAAGTGCTGGGAAAACAGGTGTGGCCACCACGCCTGGCCTATTTTAAAATTATTTTTGATACAGGGTCTCACTCGGTTGCCCAGACTGGAGTGCAGTGGCGAAATCACAACTTAACCTCCTGGCTGCAACCTCAGCCTCCTGGTCTCAGGTGACCCTCCCACTTCAGTCTCCCGAGTAGCTACAGGCACACACCACCAGGACTGAATAATTTTTATATATTTTGTAGAGACAGAGTTTCGCCATGTCTCCCAGGCTGGTCTCAAACTCTTGGGCTCAAGGGACCTGCCTGGCTAGACCTCCCAAAATGCTGGGATTACAAGCGTGAGCCACAACGTCAAGCCGAAAAATATCTTAAGTCTACCCATTACTCATCATCTTCACCGCCATCACCCCAGTTGAAGCCACTATCATCTCTTTTCTGGACCTCAGCAATAGCCTCCTGAACCATGTTACTCTGCTGCTTAAAAATCCTACAATGCCTTATTTTAAAATTAAATTCGAACTCTATTTATTTATTTATTGGGACAGAGTCTCCCTCTGTCCCCCAGACTGGAGTGCAGTGGCACAAACTCAGCTCACTGCAACCTCTGCCTCCTAAGTTCAAGCGATTCTCCTGCCTCAGCCTCCCAAGTAGCTGGCATTACAGTTGTGCACCACCACGTCCAGCTAATTTTTATATTTTTAGTAGAGATGGGGTTTTGTTGCGTAGGTCACGCTAGTCTCAAACTCCTGGTCTCGGGTGATCCACCCACCTCGGCCTCCCAAAGTGCTGGGATTATAGACATGAGCCACTGCACCCGGCCTTAAATTCAAACTCTTTAATGTGACACTGAAATCCCTGCATAGCACTCTAACCTGGTGACAGAACAAGACCCTGTTTCTTAAAAATAAAGAAATAAAATAAAATCCCTGGCCAGGCGTGGTGGCTCACGCCTGTAATCCCAGCAGTTTGGGAGGCCGAGGCAGGCAGATCATGAGGTCAAGAGATCAAGGCCATCCTAGCCAACATGGTGAAACCTTGTCTCTACTAAAAATATAAAAATGAGCTAGGCATGGTGGTGCGCACCTGTAGTCCCAGCTACTCAGGAGGCTGAGGCAGGAGAATCACTTGAACCTGGGAAGTGGAGGTTGCAGTGAGTCAAGATTGCGCCACTGCACTCCAGCCTGGCGACAGAGTGAGACTCTGTCTCAAAAATAAATAAATACATGAAAATAAAAATAAAATCCCTGCATAACGTGGCCCCTGCGGACCTCTCCAATCCAACACTGGGTCTTGTTCAACAGTGTGTTTTTAGAACCTAGAAAAGAGTTTGTGCCCAATACAAATTTGTTGACTGACTAAATGAAGAAATCAGTCCTCCAATTTGGGGTCCTCAACATGTGCTTGAACAGCTACAATCAACTTTCTTCATCGCAGACTTGGGCCCTTGTCTCATCTTGCATAAAAATAAATGACGCTTTAAACCTATGAAGGCTACCTGCTGCCTAAGAAATAAAAGCCAAACTCGAAGAATCGCTAGAAAGGTCTTTCGCAGGCTGATCCCAATCTCTTTATCTACCTCATCTTCAGTTACATTTCCCCTACAAAAGTGTGATTCTCTAATAATAACACTACTAATTATCTTGTCTCACTCTGTCCCCCAAACTGGAGTGCAGTGGTGCAAACCTAGCTCACTGCAGCTTCGAACTTCTAGGCTCAAGCAATCCTCCAGAGTAGCTGGACTACAAGCATGAGCCACCATGCTGCCTAGTTTTTAAATTTTTTGTAGAGATAGGGTCTTGCTCCATTATCTAGGCTGGTCTGGAACTCCTGGCCTCAAGCAATGCTCCCACTTCAGCTTCCCAACGCACTGAGATCACACCCAGACCGTTTACTGATATTATTCATGCAGGTCTTTTTGAACTTATCACCTTTCCCTGGATTACGCCTTCTTATAGCCACACTCCTGTGTATATGTTACTCTCTCTCTCTAATACCAAGGAAGTAGTGAAATATGATGGTTAAGGGCCTGGGCTCTGGAGCCAACTGTCTGGGTTCAGTCCAGGCTCCCCATTCATTAGGAACATGATGCTGAGCAAGTTACTTAACTTCTCTCAACCTCAGTTTCTACAAGTCTATACTGGGTATAATAACTGTGCCTACCTCTAAGGATAACTGTCAGGTTTAAATTAGACAACCATGCTCAAAAGCAGGTACTGTTCACATTTAGGCCAGGACAATTCTTCATTGTGCAGGATTGTACCAAGCACTGCAGGACATTAGGCATCACTGGGTCCTCCCACTGAATGTCCTATATCTGAATGTCACTGCAACGTTCCCCACTGCTACGACAACTGAAAAAGCTCCCACAGGCCAGGTGCAATGGCTCATGCCTGTAATCCCAGCACTTTGGGAGGCTGAGGCGGGTGGATCACCTGAGGTCAGGAGCTCGAGACCAGCCTGACCAACATGGAGAAACCCCATCTCTACCAAAAATACAAAATTAGCCAGGCATGGTGGCGCATGCCTGTAAACCCAGCTACTCGGGAGGCTGAGGCAGGAGAATTGCTTGAACCCGGGAGGCGGAGGTTGCAGTGAGCCGAGATCATGCCCTTGCACTCCAGCCTGGGCAACAAGAGTGAAACTCCATCTCAAAAAGAAAAAAGAAAAAAAGCTCCCACCAATTTCCAAATATTCCCTGTTCCTGAGGACAGGAACAAGGATAAGGGGAGGCAAGGAGGGCATTGCAACCCATGTTTGAGAATCACTTGGTTAATACATATAGAGCACTAAAAAGAGTGTCTGACATGTAGCAAACTTCGTATATGTGCTATCATACCATTATTATTATTATTATTATGTTTGAGACAGTGTCTTGCTCTGTCACCCAGGCTGGAGTGCAGTGGTGGGATCTCTGCTCACTGCAACCTCTGCCTCCTGTGTTCAAGTGATTCTCCTGACTCAGCCTCCCGAGTATCTGGGACTACAGTGTATGTCACCACACCCACCTCTAATTTTGTATATTTAGTAGAGATGGGGTTTTACCATGTTGGCCAGGCTGGTCTTGAACTCCTGACCTCAGGTGATTCACTCACTTCGGCCTTCCAAAGTGCTGGGATTACAGGCACAAGCCACTGTGCCCAGCCAATTTGCCATTATATTATTATTAATGTCCTTTCCTCTTTGTCCTACAAAGTTTTCCTTCAAGGTCTAACACAAGGGAAGTGCTTTATGATTCTCCTAAACAAGACGTAACTGCACCCTCCTGCCAGCTCTCACAACTCCAGATTCTATTCTGAGTAAAGCCACCCCTCACTGTAATTTACTGTGTTTCTATCTTCCCCATAGGCAGCAAGCTCCAGCAAGATAAACTTTTCCTCCCCACTGTCCATTTCTGGACACATGCATAGTTGATGCTCAATAATTAGTAAAAGATGTAAGGTACAATAAAGAATATGGGCTGGGGATCACGAGGTCAGGAGATCAAGACCATCCTGGCTAACATGGTCAAACCCCGTCTCTACTAAAAATACAAAAAATTAGCCGGGCATGGTAGCGGGTGCCTGTTAGTCCCAGTTACTTGGAAGGCTGAGGCAGGAGAATGGTGTGAACCTGGGAGGCGGAGCTTGCAGTGAGCCGAGATTATGCCACTGCACTCCAGCCTGGGCAACAGAGTGAGACTCTGTCTCAAAAAAAAAAAGAATATGGGCTGGGAGCGGTGGCTCACACCTGTAATCCCAGCACTTTGGGAGGCAAAGGCTGGAGGATCGCCTGAGCTCGGGAGTTTGAGACCAGCCTGGACAACATAGTGAGACCCCATCTCTACACAAAAATAAAAAAATAAGCTTGGCATGGTGGCACATGCCTGTGGTCCCAGTTATTTAGGAGGCCGAGGCAGGAGAATTCATTGAGCCTGAGAGGTGAAGCTGCAGTGAGCACTGATCACACCACTGCACTGTGGCCTGGTTGACAAAGTGAGATCCTGAAAAAAAAAAAAAAAAAAAGGAAGGAAAGAAGAAAGGAGAGAGAGAGCGAGAGAGAAAGAGAAAGAGAGAAAGAAAGAAAGAAACAAACAAACAAACAAACAAACAATCTGCAGTGAAATAAAGCCCCCTCCCTACCTTTTCTTAAACAATGGACATATCTGGCCAGGCGCAGTGGCTCATGCCTGTAATCCCAGCACTTTGGGAGGCCGAGGCGGGTGGATCACTTGAGGTCAGGAGTTTGAGACCAGTCTGGCCAACATGATGAAACCCTGTCTCTACTAAAAATACAAAAATTAGCCGGGTGTGGTGGCACACACCTGTAGTCCCAGATACTCGGGAGGCTGAAGCAGGAGAATCGCTTGAACCCGGGAGGCGGAGGTTGCAGTGAGCTGAGATGGTGCCACTGCACTCCAGCCAGGGGGATACAGCAAGACTTCGTCTCAAACAAACAAACAAAAATGGGAACATCTCTTGGACCATCCACTCCCAGTGGAAGCAGTCTGTTTGGTCTTTCCATCTGAGCCTAAGAGAGAGACTTGTGTGCAGTATGTACTGAATCAACACACGGTAAATAAAAGTCAAGTCGGAGCGTTATATAAAATGGTTGCCAGTGCATGTTATTTTTTATAATTTAACTTATCCTCAAAAAATGGTTTAGGCCAGGTGTGGTGGCTCACACTAGTAATCCTAGCACTTTGGGAAGCCAAGATGGGAGGATCACTTGAGGTCAGAAATTTGAGATCAACCTGGGCAACATAGTGCGACCTTGTCTCTAAAAACAATTTCTTTTTTTTTTAATTAGCCAGGCAAGGTGGCACATGCCTATAGTCCCAGTTACTTGGGAGGCTAAGGCGAGAGGATTGCTTGAACCCAGAGTTTGAGGCTGCAGTGAGCTATAATGGTATCGCTGCATTCCAGCTTGGGCAGCAAAATGAGGAATGAGACTCTGTCTCAAAAAAAAAAAAAAATGGTTTAAGTCTCTACTGAGACCAGCCTATCTTCCTCAGCTGACATAAAATCCACCAAAACAATGTTTTCCAGATCTGTGTCATTCCCTTACACCTATACTATAATATTTTTTTTCCAGATATAAGGATCTGTTGGCTATTCCTTCATACTCTCAAAATTCACTTTTTTTTTCTTTTTACGTTTATTGTTTGGTACAAAAACAGGCTGCCTAACTCTTTGAATAAACATCTCATAGACTCGTGCTCCTAGATTACAAAAAGTCAAAGCCAATTTTCTTTGACACTGGGCCCTTGACTCTGACATTCAAGTCACCATAACAGAAACCGGAGCTGTTCTATCTTACGTTCTGGAAGGTGCCTCAACAAGACATGTTAAGAACTGGTTAAAACTTGCAGCATTTAAAAAGATCCATCTTGTCTTCCAATGCCTATGGATAATAACAAAAAGGGAATCCCAGAGATCTACTTTTGAGTTAGAGAAGGACAACTGCAATAAGATCCACTCTTTTAAGTTCCAAAAGGAAACTTGAGGCCAGATGTGGTGGCTCACAGGTATAATCACCAGCACTTTGGGAAGCCAAGACTGGAAAACCCATTGTGCCCAGGAATTTTAATTTGAGACCAGCCTGGGAAACACAGTGAGATCCCATCTCTACATTTTTTTTTAAAAAAACAAAATTTGCAGGCGTGGTGGCTCTTGCCTGTAGTCCCAGCGACTCAGGTGGCGAAAGGATCGCTTGAGTGCAGGAGTTCGAGGCTGCAGTGAGCTATGATCGAGCCACTGCACTCCAGCCTGGGCAACAGAACGAGACGCTGTTTCAAAAGAAAAAACAGAAAGAAAGAAAAGAAAAAGGAAACTTATAGCCCAGCCCGAGGAGGAAAAGCAACACCCAAAATTAGCAAGTGGACAAGACAGCCCGGCCCCCAGCTGAGACTCCCGCTGATGTGATCAGGACTTCGGGGCTTGTTCTCTCGCCGAGGGTATTTGCTGTCCATGCGTGCACCGCCCACCCGAGTGCCCCACGCAAGTTCGGTGACCTCTGCCCAGCCAAGAGCAGGGGAGGGTCCCGTGGCCAGGGCCCCGCGCGGCTCACCCTCCACGGCGTGGTTCACCTCTTGGATGAACAGCTGCAGCTTCATCACCAGGGTGGCTGCGTGGCCATCCGCCTTCCCGGACGCCGCCTCCTTGGAGCCGGCCCTGAAGGCCGCATTGATCCACTCCTTCACGTCGAAGTCGTCTGCCAGGAACTTGGAGAAGTCCATGGCGGCACTGTCTAAGGCCTGGCGTCCAGGACTTAAGAGTTGGCTTCGGGCGGCAACGGGGATGCAGAAGCGAGCGAGCCTGAGAGAGCACCGAGGCTAGCCTCCGAGGCGAACCCCAGAAACTCCAGGACCGGTAACTTGCCCCTTTGCGCTTCTCTGTTCAGCCCACTCAGGTTGCGGCTGGGAATGACCCTCGCCGCCCGCCGTTCTTCTTCCGGAAATCGTTGGCTGTTACCATAGCGACTGCGGGCGTCCGGAGCGCTGAGCAGAGCTGGTTGTGGGAAGAACGCCCCGGACTGAGAGCTCCCGGCACCGACAAACATCCCACGTCAGCTACCATTTGTCGAGGACTAAACTATGTGCTTACTATAAAGCCCTGACATACATTAGCGCATTTATGCGGTGGCTTGCGCCTGTAGCTCTTTAGGAAGCTGACGCGGGAGAATCGCTTGAGGCCAGGATTTCGAGGGCAGCCTGGGCAACAGTGGAGCGCATTGGGCAGCAATGGAGTGCGATTGAACGATCTCTGCTCACTGCAGCCTCAAATTCCAGGGCAACTGAACGATCTCAGCTCACTGTAGCCTCAAATTCCTGGGCTCAAGCGATCCTCCCACCTCCGCCTCCAGAGTAGCTGGGACTACAGGCGCGCGACCACACGCCCAGCTCTCCCTCTCCCTCTCCCTCTCCCTCTCCCTC